TTTTCAAAATAGAAAAAAATTTATAATTTAGGTAAAACAAAGGGGTGGATATTTTACTCAAAAATAAATGTCTTTATAGGAGACAGATTTAATTATATGTTTGTCAATTTTTTCTTGTAGGGTAGAGTTTAATTGGAAGCATATTACCCCTTTCTATATAAATAATATTTTCTATATCCAAATATCAGTCTTTTTTGAACATTTGAATCAAAATATATTTTTTTAATTATGAACAACAGACGTGTATGAGGTAAATAAAATATCTTTTTTACAATCTTTATTTTGACTTTTTACACCAATTATAATTTTAGTTGAATGTATAAAATATTTTTATTCTGGCCGGTTAAAATTTTAACTGATGTAGAATTCTCACACCAAAAATGTCACCGGTTATATTTTTTAACTTGTCTTCGCAACAATCACTATATTATTAGTGTCGCTGTAGAAATGTTATTTTTGCACTAATTTAAATTTATGAGTAATAGAAAATCCATACACTTTTATACTGTTGTTCTCACCGTCTAAAAACGTCCACGTTTGTTACCGTTACATCTTTGTGTTTGTGTGAAAGAGATTATTGGTTCCTCATTTATTTATGCTTCAATTTGTTGGAATTGAGAGAAAATCAATGGACAAAAAAATAGAGGGGAGAAAAAATAGGGAGAGGAAAAAAGTGAAGAGATAACATTCCTCCTTGTGTTTGGATAGGTGTTTGGATAGATGAGGAAAAATGGAGAGAAAAGCAAATGCATGACATTTATAATGACAATAATACTTTTATTTAATTTTAACCAATTTTTTTTCAAGTAATGGTATGAAAAATGAATTCAAAATATTTTATTTCAAAATTTAAATATTTAGTTAAATATATTTCTTCACGAGTTAAATTAATAAAAAGAGAGTTAAAGCAAAAATAAAGATGTAAGAATGACAATATTATACTTTTTTTTACATTTCAAGCTTACAAAGTTGTATTAACTCATTTTTAAACTCGTGTTAGATACAAATTCAATTGGTGCAAATTCAATTGAACTGACGAGTTTATCATTTCTATGTTTTAGCTCACAAAATTGTGTTAACTCATTTATAAACTCGTACTAAATTTTTTAAATTTGGTTATGATTAGTTATTTCATATATAAATTTATAAAAATTTCTCTGTTGTTGGGTTCTTGATAGATTTAATTTTATTATTTGGATTTAAAATAAAAATAAATAAAATTGTCATCATTTTTTATAATTTAGATTTAATTATATGCTTTTAATAGCTATTTATTAGTAAAAACAAACTCTTTTATGTATAATTTTCAAGTTTATGATTTGAGTTTACATCCCTATTAGGAGTTTATTAATTAAAGGCATTGGTCTTAATTAATTGCTAGGCATGAAAAAAAATTCCCCACTAGGAAACTTCCACTCTCTTCAAAGGATTTAAATTGGATGGGACTGAATTAGTCGGGTTCATGATAATAGTGTAATACTAAATTTATACAAAATTTCCCTAAATTTAACACTATACACAACTAATTTTCTTAGCATTTAAAACTTAATAATAAAATAGACCGCCATACACTTTTAAGTCTGTGCACCCTTTTAAATTTTACTTTCGTGTACATATAATCCCGACAAAGTTTGGGTTATATTCAACCCTCTCAACCTTTAAATTATGTATAGATAAATTATATAATAGTGGAGGAGTTATCTTCGTAAATGTAAAAGTTTAGGGAGATTTATTATAAAATTTTCAAATATGAGAAAAATTTTCAAAGGTTTATTGTAACGTAAGGTACGATGGGCAAGGTGCGAAGAAATCAGCGAAGAGTAAATAAGGTACTAGGAATGAGGAAACAATAACATTTTCTTTTTATCGATCCTTTTCATGCCATTTGCCTTATGTTTATTCGGTGAACTCATTTTGTTAGAGTGACCAAGGCCTAATGATTATGGCTTCGGATATAAAATGTAAAAGTATTATTAGTGGTCCAAAAAGTAAACATAGTATATGGTATTATTAATTAGCACTAATTAAAGTATAATCAGGCATTAGATGTGTCACATCGAGATCATAGAATAACAAATGTAATAAAGGCACAGAGTGTCATTGGAGGTTACAGAAAAGATTAATTAATAATCAAATTAATTGTTGCTAATTATTTAATGCCAGTACCCCCTTCATTATTGAACACACCAGCTGGTTTCTGCAAATTTTGTCCTCTTCTTCGATCGGTTCTGGCTTTCATTTCTCTCTTCGATCACAAAAAGCCTTTGATGGTTGTTTTCGTTCTTCCCCAACAAAAAAAAAAGACCTGTTTATTTTTGTTTTCTTGATCTCAAAACAATTTCATAAAATTGGTTTTTGGAACCAGTTTTAAAAAACCAAAAACAAAAGAATTTGTTTGGATAATAATTTTAAAAAATCACGTTTAAAAATAATTATAAAAAATTACATTTGACAAGTAATAGTTGTCACTGGTAGTGATATATGGTGGATAATAGGTGAGAAAAGAAAAAAATTTCAAAATTTTTCAAAAAAAAATTAAAATAAGAACAAGAAAACATGTAAAAGATGTTTTTGTTTTTATTTTTTAAAAACATGTTACTGTTTTTTTTTTAAAACAATCAAGTAAAAACAAATTACTAAACAATTTTTTTTATTTTTCTGTTTTTTAAAAATAAAAAATTATTTTCAAAACAAGAAACCAAATAAACCTTTAGAGTTTTGACTTTTGTTTCGGAGTTTCTCTCTGTAGAGGGAACCTTTCTTTCTAGTTTCTTGTATTTAAATTTTGTTTTAACTCTCACCTCATCTCTGTTGATCATTATTCCTCCCCTTCTTCTTTAGAGAACCCCCAAAAAATAAAAAGTTGTGTTCAAATCTTCTTCACTTTCTACGTTTTTCCCTTTGTATTTAATTTCCTCATTTGATTTTTCTCTCTATCATATTACTGTTTCTCATGGTTCCTTTTCTTAAAAAAATCCACAAAAGGGGAGAAAAAACAAAAATAAATTTTTATATCAAAAGCATTATTGCAGCCGTATTCCGAGAGGTAAGGATTTATACTCCCTGCACTCACATTTCGTTCTCTTAAACTTTTTGTAACTTATTTTTATTTCTTTACAAATCGGTTGGTCGCTTGAAGCATGCTTAGCTTGAAATTTTCAATTCCTGTTTTCAGGTTAGTATAAGCATAGTTTTAATTGTGAATTTGATTTATTTATAGAAACTTTGACAGCTTTCTTAAATTATAAACCAAAGTGGGCTAATTATGTATATTTGCAGAGTATAAAACTAACAACATTATATTATTTATAATTTGTGAGCAATATGACTCTTATATTTTCTATATTTCATATGAATGTTGATATGAATATGGTCTAGCTTTTATATCTAGAAAATTTCTTGTTAATTTATATCACTGTGTAAACAAGAATTACGTGCATGTTTTTAGATTTCTTTTTATCAATGGTTTAGGTAAGGCTCTAAATACGATTATATTTAAAAGTTTTTTTCAACAAAGCTGGCCAGATATGCTTACTTCCATTCACATATTTAACTCGTACAACACAAAATTACTTAAAATAAGTTAATAAAATGCCCACTATAACTTATTTTAAATAGCCACTAAAAAAGAACTAATTTTTTTTAAAAAATTTTATTTTTTATATAAAAGTTTTAATAAACTATAAAGCATTGAAAATAAAGACTATGAAGATTCATTAATGATCAGCAAAGATACACAAGAGATTAACCAAATCCCTTTTTAAAAGATAACTAACAACTTAAAACTATTAGGATTAAGGAGGGAGAGATAGGTTATCATTCCTCCCCCCGCACAAAAATAAAGAAAAGATTGCCATTACCTGTTTTTCATATCTTACTTTAATTATAATTTAAGGAAGGCCTTGTATATGTGTATTTACATGCAGTTTTAAATTAGTTGTATTTTCCGTAATATTGCCCTCACTATGCTTTTACTAAACTAGTGTTTTGATTGTGATTATCTCCGAATAAAAATTTATTGTTGCCAAAGTTTATTAAATATAGTTCTAACTGGTTGCCTTTTTTTGCCACCAATGATAATCGGTTGCTTTTCTCTATTAGAGTAGCAATATATTTCGTGCCGCGATGGCTTTGTAAATTCATATCAAACAATTTCAAATCCTCGTTCTGTGAAAATTTTATTCTTCCTATGTTCTTTTAACTTTTTAAAATTAAAAAATCTGTTCTTATTTTTTCTAAAATACTTTAAATTTAAAATATATTTGTCAATTGTATTTAATGTATATTTATATCTTATAAACATTGTAAAAAATAAAATATTTAATTTTGACGGTGTGCAATTATTCATATATATATATATTTATTGAACGCGGCAGTATTAAATATAAATATTGGCTTGCTCTTGTTCTTGAATTTGAAAGAGGAAGTAAATATCTTTATATGAAATAGACTTAATGGTACATCTGTTAATTTTTCATACAGCTATGTGCATCGCAATTATGCACAATCTAATTTCACCTTAGTTAAGCAGCTATCAGAGGGTGAATATTAGTAGCAGAAAAATCGAGCTTAACCAACAGCAACGCTAGTAACTTTAATGAACGGCAAACAATTAAAGGCACTTTAGGAATGCTACTCCCCTTAAAACAATAGAATTAATTTCTTTTTGAAGTAGTCAAGTCGAGCCTTTTTAAATTAGGTAGAAACGTCTTTTGATGCACTCAAACTATGTCAAACTCTCTATGATCAATTGCAACAATTGTGATGTTACGATTTAGAATTACCTTTTATTTGGTAATGGATTGTTATAGTTGATTTTAGAATGCATTCTTTAAAACGTTACACACACATGGGTTACTTAGAGAGATGCCATTCTTTCTATAATCTCTCCCTACAATTAATAATATGGTTTAGATTAGTATATTGTAATCTTAGGCATATATAGTTGGCATGTACATAGATATTATAATCTTGTAACCGTAATCTCATATGCATGTTAGATGGATATCGGTAGCAGTGTTGCAACAACAGTTATCCCCTGCCTGGCATGTAAAGCATGGGAAGAACTTCGGTACCTGCGTAAATACAAGAGTTATGTTCGAGACTTTAGAAATGAACAAGGAAAGTTGTCAGCTGAAATGAAAAGAGTAAAGCTGAAGATAGATGAAGCCAGCAAAAGAAATGAGACTCTAGTTGATCCTAGAGTTGAAGACTGGCTTAAAAGAGCCAATCAACTTTTACAACAAGACACTAAACCAACTAAATGCTTTGGCTTGTGTGTGAATTGCTGCTCGCAAACTGCACGAGCAAAGGAGCTGGAAAGTTTGATCAAAGAGGTAATTCCAAAATTGATCACTGAAGTTCAAGAATTTGATGCATTTGCACATGCAGTTGGAGTGCCAGGCATGGAATTCCATTCACAAAACTTCATGTCCTTTAAGAGTAGAAAGGCGAAATTTGAGGAACTCAAGAAGGAATTAGAAGATGACAATAACTATATGGTAGGATTGCAAGGGTTTGGAGGAACGGGGAAATCCACAATGGCAATAGAAGTCGGGAAACAAGTTGAAAACACAAATTCCTTTGATAGAGTCATGTTCATTAGTGTGTCTACCCCTGTGGACAAGAAAAGGATTCAAGATGACATTGCAAAGAAATTGGAATTGCAGTTAGAAGAAGAGAAGCTATTGACCCACGCAGAACAAATATGGAACAGGATTGCTTATGCAAGAAAGGTGCTCATAATACTTGATGATGTCTGGGAAAAGCTTGATCTTAAGAATTTGGGGATTCAGCCAGGCTTCCATAGAAAGGGTCGTTGCACTGTTTTGCTAACCACACGTTATGTGAATGTTTGTACTGACATGGAATGCCAAAAGAAGATTAAACTAGAGGAGTTAGATGAGAACGATGCATTGAATCTTTTCCTTTATCATGTTGGTCAGGATTGCCGCGATGATTTGAAGAAGGTGGTAGTGGGTATTGTGAACGAGTGTGGAAGATTACCAGTTATAGTTGTCGCAATGGCAAAGTCCTTAAAAGACTGGCCTAAAAAAGATTGGCACCGTGCTTTGATAGCATTGAGAAGTGCGAATGAACCCTCAAGTCGTGGGATTGTTGATGAAAATATGACGAAGTTTTATAATTCTTTGAAGTTAAGCTATAATTATCTGAAAGATGAACAAGCCCAAGTTCTCTTCCTGCTGTGCTCTGTATTCCCAAAAGCTTATGAAATACCCATAGAGCTTTTAAGCAGGATTGCTATAGGATTAGGGCTATTTGGAGAAACTGAATATGATGCAACAAGAAGTCAAGTGTGTGTGAAGAAAAACAAGCTCATAAATTCCTCTTTATTGTTGAAGGCTGGTGAAGAATGTGTAAAGATGCATGATTTGATTCGTGAAGTGGCCATGGAGATAGCAAATGAAGAGATTCAAGTGATCATGAAATCTAATATGAATTTGAAGGAGAATATGAAATATTCATCTTGGATCACAAATGGCTTTCCCAATTGTTTTAATGGTAGCAAACTTAAGGTTCTCTTAGTATGGATAAATGCAAATGGTTCTTTAGAAGTTCCAAATACAGTCTTTGCAGGGATGAAGAGTCTTAGAGTTCTGCTTTTGTATTCAAAAATTGAGTTTGGCAGAACTTTAGCCCTCTCACTACCCAAATCAATTCAATCATTGAAAGATATTCGAACACTGTGTCTAACAAATTGGGAGTTAGGTGATATATCTATGTTGATAAGAAACTTAAAAGATCTTGAGTCTCTAGAATTGACCAATTGTTCAATTCTTGATTTGCCAAATGGAATTAGTGAGCTAGGCATATTGAGATTTCTATGCTTGATGCGTTGTTTGCTTGAAAAGAACAATCCATTTGAAGTGATTGCAAGTTGCTCAAAACTGGAAGAGTTGTATTATATCTCGAATGATGATCATATGCCCATCGACACACAGGTTCCTCAAATAAATATACCCCTTCCTCAATATCAAATATATCATATAGATGGTAGTGGGTTCTCTGCATTTGATTCTTGTCAGTTGGACGCTTCAATAAAAACGAGTTTCAAGCCAGCCAAGTTACAAAGAATGTTCTCCAGAGAAATAATTAAATCCTTGGCAGCAAGAGCAGAGATTTTGGAGTTAGAAGGAGATGATGAATCTAGCTGGGGCAATCTTATTCCTGATGTTGTTTCAATTGAAGATGAAGCTACGAGAGACTTAATCAAGCTTTCATTGAAGAAATGGTCAAAGATGAACTGTTTGATACATACTAAACTTCTTCAACTTACACCTGGTATGGCTATCTTCAGGAAGTTAGCTGAACTGCAACTTGTTGGAGTGGCTGTGAGAGAAATATGTAGTGGTCCTTATCCTGATGGCTTTCTCAAGCAACTTGAGAAGTTAGAGTTAAGGGATTGTGAAGAGTTGGAAAGCACATTATTTAAAGGCAAGCTAGAGCTAGGTAATCTTAAGTCCATAGAAGTAAAGGATTGTTCAATGTCGTGCCTTTTTCATCCATCCACTGCCCAAAGTCTAAGAAAGCTAGAAACTTTGAAGATTACTAGATGTTCTAATCTGAAATACATAATAAGGGATGAGGGATTATCAGGAAAGGTGAAAGCGGATGATAAAGATCCCAATCCAAGGAGTCATGACTCAATGTTTCAAAAATTGAAACTCTTCAGTATTAAAGGATGTGACGAATTGGAATTCATGTTGCCAATTTGTTTTTGTGATGACCTTCCTACACTTGAAAGTGCGAAGATTTCTGAGTGTGAAAATCTAAAATACATGTTTGGGCAATATCCAGAAGAGAGAGGGTTGCATCAAATGCAAAAAGAAAACATACTCTGTTCGTTGAAAGTGCTGTCTATTCTAAAAGTTCCTTCATTCGTCAACATATATCCAGATTGTCATCTCCCACAAAAATCAGAAGCAAATACAACTGAAGGGTCAAAGGCAAAAGACAAGAGTCCAGGTCGCAATGTCTCTTGTGGTTCTTTATGTTGTTTTATGCCAAAATCAAAAGCTACAAATGAAGATGAGTCATCCACTTCCAAGGCAACTCAGCCGGACCACACTAGCCCACAGGTACATATATATGTTCCTCCCTCGCACTTTTTATCAGTGCTACAAATGGTTATTTGCATTGAGGGAATTAAATAGAGTTGCGTTAATTTAAAAAAGAGAATTGTTAGAATAAATAATTACTCATTACGTTCAAAAATTGTGTTGATCAAATTTGTTATAATGCTTAGGACAAAATAATATTAAAAAAAACCCAACATTTAAGTCATTTATAGATGACCTCCGTATAGCAATTCAAATTTTAAAGTTAACCTCCCTATATTTTTTTTTATCTTTTCACATAGTCTAGAGAAAAATTCGGGAAAAGTCTCCCATTAAAAAATTTATTGGTGAGGAGGATGGACATAGAATTTGGATATTTTGTATGTATAAATTTTACAGAGTATTAAAAGCTTTTGTATATAAAAGTTTATCAAATACTTCTCACCAATAAAATGAAGGGTCGTTGCCTTTTTTGATAAATTCCTTTGTCTACTTTACACTGAATATAGAGTATTTCTTTCTTCCAAAAAAATCATAGTCAGCAATAACACCAAAATTTCTAGGTTTGTATGTGCTTGTGACTTTTATGCCACAATTGTTGGTTTTTTTAACTGAGAAATAGGTCGGTAATATAAGGAGGGGTTTTCTGGGTATTTTACTTCTGGTGGAAAGAATACTTTTGCAGGTTTAATCTAAAAAAAAAAATCTCATTTGTTGAGGATAGTTCGGGACTGAATATGGGGAAAGTTTTTTGTGCGAAAACGGCATGAACTATTTATATCAAATATATATATTGTTGTAGTATTTGTGGCTTTTGCCAAAAGTATTTGTCTATTTTTTTTTTATACAATTCAGAGACTTGCCAAGCCACTTTGAACTTGAGTCTTCTCGCGATTTGAACTTATGTTCTTCTTCTTACGAGGCTTAGACTATTTACCATAACAATCAATAGCTTGTTGGTAAAGTATGTCTCTTTATTCATGTTGCAATCTATATAATTTTATTCTCAACCTCACGGTTGATATCTATTTAGTACACATATAAATCAAATTACAAAAATTTGTCCACGTACATGCCACAGGGTGCAGGGCATTCACAGCAAATTACTTATCCACATCAAATTTACAATGGCTTTTTTTTTAAACAATCAACCTTTTAAATTTTGCTTCATTGTTTCATTAATTAATTGATTCAGAAGAATTTAGAACGTGAAAAATTAAAATTTTTAATAATTTGTAACATATTGGCTGAGATGTAGTAAAGATTAAGTTAGATAAGATGTGAAAAAAAATCTTTGGTTATACTTATTTATTTAAAAAAAAAAATTGAACCCGCTTTCCCGTCCATTCTCTGAATTGGCGCTACAACTCTAAGAAGATGAACCAAATTGATGTATTTGTTTGAAAGGCAGGATACATATGTTGGCAATGGAGCAAATGGAATTTTTACGCCACCGTTGTACCCGGTCAATTTGAGAGAGATGAAAATCAACAGAATTTCAAACTTAAGGTCACTATTTTCTGTATCCATCGCCTCATCAATGTTAATGTTAGAAAAATTGGAAGTCGTCCTCTGTGATGAGCTAGAGCATATAGTAATGGAGGAGGTAGACGGTCATCATCATCATATGAGTTCCAACTCTATCTTTCCCAATTTGCGCACCATTGAAATCATCGAATGTCACAAATTGAAATATGTATTTCCTCTTTCTTGTTCTACAAACCTTGTGCTCTTGGAATCTATGCATATCCGGGGGGCTGGAGAGTTGAACTATGTATTTGGAAAATCTTGTGGTGATGATAAGTTACTTCAACAAAATCATAATACTAAGATTCATCTCCCAGCCCTCAACAAACTAAGCCTTAGTGAAGTACCAAATATGGTTATGTGCCCTAAAAACTATTATGTGGAAGCATCATCTCTAGAAGGCATCACTTTGAGTGAATGTCTGCAACTTCCTATAAACTCTTTTATAGAAGTATCAGTGGAGGGGCATACAGGACAAGAACAAGTCTCGAGAAAAAAGGTAATTAATTATTTTTCAATAGTCAGTTTATGATTATTGATGTATTGCTTTGTTCTTTGATAATTATATGTGTGTTTGTTATGACATTATATAGGTAATTGGGATGCGCTTGTGCAATTTGAGACATCTGTCTTTGGCATTCTTGGACATGGAAACAATTTATGATCTGGAAAGACTTCAAATTGCATGTCATGTGAATTCAAGCTTGAAAACCCTGATTTTGGAAAACTTGGATGGGTTAAGAAACATATGTGTGGGACCAAAAAATCACCTCAGCTTTCAATATCTTTTCAAGCTAAAAATCGACGGGTGCGATCAGCTGGAATTCATTTTGCCTACATCTATCTCGAGAAGCCTGCCATGTTTGAGACACCTACAGGTATCACAGTGTGGAGAGCTAGAGCGCATCATTGAGGATGACGATGATGAAGAATATTCTTTCCCAAATCTCCATAGGATTATTGTGCAAGACTGCAAGAGGCTGAAATGCCTATTCTCTATCCCCACACGTGGCAGCTTTCCACAGCTCTCGATTTTGCGCATATCAGATGCCCCAGTGCTAGAGCAAGTATTTGGAGGGAAGCAGGGCGCAACACGAGAGTTGCACATCAAGGTTGTGTTCCCAGAGCTATTTGTGATATACCTTGGAGATGTACCAAAACTTCATACCATCTGCCCTGCAATTGATTTCCAGACCGTGATATGCCGTCTAGTCGAGGGTTGTCCCAAGCTCTCTTTAACTTCAACTGATAATGTTGACTTCATTAATAGTAAGTATCCAAAAGATTATTTAATTATATATTTACGATTCCTATTAATTGCTATGACTTTTCTCATTATAATATATTTTTGGAATTGCTTTGTTTGGTTAGGTTATACGAATTGGTTCCAAGAATCTGAGAGTAAGAAGGGCAACATGGATGAGGATGATCTTTTTGAACAACTTATTAATGTAAGTATCAAAATAAAATGGGTCAATCTAAGGAAAGAGAAAGCAGGGGGAGACCGGACAACAAACGATGCATATACCAAACTTAAATAAACTTGATGGGCCTCTTCTTCTTGAACCAATGGCCTATCATTACACCATTTTTATTTTTAGTTTCAATGTTTTATTATCTTTTCAAATTCACCATGCATTGTCTGGGACAAATTGTTTTTATATTTTTTTAATCAGTTCTATAAAAAAAATTAAATAAACAACATGTCATTTCATTCAACCCATGGAATGGTGATCGAAATAGACCATATTTTAGCTTGGAAAAAAATTGCTTATAAGTCTCATCAAGAAAATTAAATATACAAATGTCTCTAAAAATTTATATTTTACAGATCTGACTTGTATATTCACAAATTAAATTTAATCATTTATGTTTACAGATCAAACTTTTATTTTTACAAGTTGAATTGCATCATTTTTAAGTCAAATTGGACAAAAAATTATAGCATCTATATATCTGAGATTAATTTAATTAAATGAAAGCCTAAGGTTATTTTGTTAATGGAAATATTTAAAAAAAAGAGTAAAGATGCAATTTTGCCCTTAAATTTATTTCTCAAGTACACCACGCACTCTGTTTCTTTTGTAAAAGTGCTAAACAAAAGATTATTGATAAAATTATACCTACGATAGGGGGTAAATTTCAATCTTTTTTACCCTTTCAAAAATGGCTCATCTCATATACTATCTAACCATGTTCACGGATATGTTCCAGAGGGTAAGAGAAGTAGTAGAGAAGGTTACAAAGAGAGATCGACCAGCAGCACAACAAACCAATGGTTCATCAAATGTATGTGTACTGCACTTTCCTATAATCTACCACACCTAAGAAGCCACCAACTATATTCTTCTCTTACTTATTGCCTTTCTTATTGCTTATAAATTTTTGGCGCAATATGAACAAATTAAATCCATAACTTTTTTATAAATTTTTGGTGCAATATTAACAAATTAAATCGAGAACTTTTTAATTCCTTTGTGGTCTCCTATATGTTGCAGATTAAGGAAATAACAAAGGCAAGTGTTGAAGACGGTCCAAAAGCAGAGGAGGCTGCAGAAGCTGATGAAGGGAAGGATTCAGAACAAACTAGCAACAACCCTGCTCCTTCACAAGTAACATTATCATATTTTTAAAATACGATACCATTTGATTTTTCCTCCAACACAGCATCTTCTCAACTAAGTTCATACTTTATTATATTACCTTATTTTCAGTGACTAATGTTAGAAAACACTCATTGTAAATTCATCATACTTCACACTTTTCTAAAATAAAATAGTTTTACATAGACATCAAACAGTACCACATTTTATTAACATACTGTAAGTTCAGATAAACCAAAGCAGTGAAAAATGAAATTGTTAAACAAGCTCTTCTCTCTGATATAGCAGCAAAAACAACACCATTCTCTAATTCAGATATTTTAAGAGAAAATGCCCACAAACACCTTCACTTGTTTTTATATATTGTAAAATTTAATTAGCTAGTAAAGAATATTGTTGATGAAGAGATGACCAACATGTTTATAAGTTGAATTGCATCATTTTTAAGTGAAATTGGCAAAGCTTTTTCAGCACCTAGCTCTCTGATTGATTTTATTAATTGAAGCCTAAGGCTGATTTTTTTAAAAAAAGAAATATTTAAAAAACATCTCATCTAATATAGCATCTAACCCATGTTCACGGATATATTCAATTATTGTACAGAGGTTAAAAGAAGTAGCAGAGAAGCTTATAAAGAGAGACCAACCAGTAGCAGAACAAAACAATGGTTCATCGAATGTATGTATACTATACTTTTACCTTTCTTATTGCTTATAAATTTTTGGTGCAGTTTTAACAAATTAAATCCAGAAGTTTTTAATTTCTATGTGGTCTCCTATGTTACAGATTAAGGAAATGACAGGGGCAAGTGTTGAGGACAGTCTAAAACCAGAGGAGGCTGCACCGTTTGCTGCCCCTTCACAAATTGAATCTCCACGAGTAAGATTATCAGTTTCAAAACCATTTGATTTTTCCTCCAACACAGCATCTTTTCAATGAAGTTTATACTTTATTGCCTTATTTTGAGTGACTAATGTTAGATTTTAAAACTAATTGAAAACACACATTATAAATTCATCATACTTCACCCTTTCCTAAAATAAAATAGTCTTGCGTAAACACCAAACTGTTCCACTCTTTAGTAACATATTGTAAGTTCATGGAGTACCAAAGCAACAATAAATGAAATTGTTCAACAAGTTCTTATTTCTGATATACCAGCGAGAACAACACCATCCTCTAATTAAACACCTTCACTTGGTTATGTATTATAAAATTTAGTTAGCTAGACAAGAATATTACTGCTGAAGATATGGCATTAGAACTCACTGCAGGCTAAATAAGTTCTTTGTGCTGTGCAACAAATTATAAAGGAAACATTGAAGTCAACCTCTCAAGAAGGTTCTAAATCAGATGAAGTTGTCAGAGCATATCAAATCATGAGTCCAGAATCAAGCAAGCCATCCCCAAAGGCATTTGTTGTTCCTTTAGAAAAAGAGCATCCACATGTAAGAATATAGTCCTTCCTGATGTATATAAGTTAAATTTTTGGTAAATGATACAATTTTAGGGTGCTTTCTCCATATTTATGTTCATTTAGGATAATAAGAATCGCATTTTGGGTGAGGGCAAGAGAATCACACATGATGCACTAAAAAAAACAGAACGGAATACACATCTTAGTGATTCACAAAAAGTTAATTAACGCTCTGGATGATTTTTTTCCTCACTAATCGTGGAAGATAATTCATGAGTTTTTAAAAACCACTCTAGGATTCAAATTAACTTGATTTAGAATAGCGATAAAAGTTTTTAAATTTTTTAGAAAATACTAAAGTTATTCTTATTTTTAGTTAGCCACAAGGAGTAGTGGCGTTTTAGCTACTTGTTTGGATGACAAGAGTCGTCTTACTCTATAGCGATGCTAATGTAAATTAATTTTTATTTTCTATTTTGAGGAAAACATATATTCAAAATTTTTGTATTCAATTAGTCAAATTATATATATATTGCTTATATTTGGTATGCATTGCAAATCAGAAGCACACTAAACTCTGATTCAGATATGCAAAAGACATCAACAAATATATTTCTCTCTCACTTACTGCCTTCTTGATTGCTTCCAAATTTTGGTACAGCATCACTGCCTTCTTGATTGCTTCCAAATTTTGGTACAGCATCATTAAATTAAGTCCAGAACTTTTTAATTTCTTTGCGGTCTCCCGTAATGTTACAGATTAAGGAAACAGCAGAGGTAAGTGATGAAGACACTCCACAACCAGAGGAGGCTACAGAAAGTGGCTCAGAACAAACCAACAAACCTGCACCATTTGCTGCTCCTTCACAAATTGAATCTCCACAAGTAAGATTATCATATTTTACAATACAAAACGAATAAATTAAATATATGCAGCTTTTTCAATATTCATAAATATGTATATTTTCATATAGAGTGAAAGAGGACTACATTCGCATTCTAAAGATCCCCAATCAGAACCATCTGAACTTTCCTCCAATATAGCATCTTCTGAAGTAAGTCTGCACTTTATTGCATTATTTTGAGTGATTAATATTAGACTTTAACAGCTTGAAAACACATGCATTGTAAGTTCACCATACTTTGAAATTTCCTAAAATTAATAGACTTGCCCAAACATCAAATAGTACTTCTCTCCATTACCATATTGTAAGTTCATGGACTACCATAGCAAGCAAATAAAATTGTTAAACAAGATCCTATTTCTGATGTACCAGTGACAACAACACCAGCGTCTAATTCAAATATTTTAAGGGAAAATTCCCAAAAATACTCCTTCACTTGGTCATGTATTGTACAATTTAATTAGCTAGTAAAGAATATTGTTGATGAAGAGATAGTGTAGAACTCAAAGCAAGCTAATTACTTTTTTAATTTGTGCTATGCAACAAATTATAAAGGAAACATTGAAATCAACCTCTCAAGAAGGTTCTAAATTAGATGAAGCTCTCGGAACAATGCAAATCACGAGTCCAAAATCAAGCAAGCCATCACCAACAACATTTGTTGTTCCTTCTTGATATAAGATGAATTATTATGTTAACTGATATAATCTTATGGTGCTTTTGCCATATTTATGTTCATTTAGGACAATATGGATCGCATTGAGGATGAGGGCAAGAAAATCACACTTGATCAACAAGCACTACCAAAAACAGACCCCGATATGCATCTTGATGATTCACAAAAGGTTAATTAACAATCTACAAAAGAATATACTACCTCCGGTCTTATTTATAAGACCTCATTTGTAGACTACAAACGGTGTCTTATTATTAGGACCAGAGGTAGTATATACGTATTCTAATGCTTTACTGTCACAAAAACAAGAAACTGATGTCATTCGATGCCACGCAGAATGCTAAAGCAAATGTTGAAGAAACATCAGATAAAGTTGCAATGTCAATTCCATCAACTACTGCAACTGAAACAAGCTCTCCATTGGTAAATAACTACTCCTTTCATTTACCCTTATGTGATTGTTACACTATTGGTACTTTACTCTCATTGGTTGAAATTAATTTTTCTATCTTTCTGGTTTTAGATCCCTTCAATCTCTACTCCCATGAAGCCTCAAATAGCAACTTCAAGTACTGAAACAAAAGCAGAGAGCTCACAATCAGACCATTTAGATATTTCCATTACTGAATCTGCACAAGTACGTTTATAGTTTATTGCCCTGCTTTTTGGGTATAATGTTTTCCCTTTAAAACAATTAATAATGAATATTGTGTTGATTACCATTTATAACTCCGCTTTAAGAATTCAATGTGTTTAGAAAAAATATCATATTTTGTTACTGGATTCTATTAGTAAGAATAATATTTGTCCATTATCCATTTCAGGATGAAAATAAGGTCACTCAAGCAGGGACTTGCATGCCTCATGTATCTAAACAGCTTGAAAATGATGATCTAATGATATTATTCCAAATAATGGAGGAAGTTGCTGACATCGAAGTTCACATGCCCTATGCATCCCAAGTTATTGCTTATGAAGATGATAGTGAGGTAGCTAAGGCTCTTGGTGACTTGGAAGCCTCAATGAAGATGGGTTTGGAGGAAATTGCTAGCTCTGAAGAAAGCAAGCTTTGCCTTGAGAATGCTCTTAACACCTTGTCGTCTCATTGTTCTGATGATGGCCTTAAAGCTATAATACACTCTTTGCAACAAGAAATCCAAAATGTTCTATCTTCCTTCAAGCTTCAACAAAAACAGAAGCTAATGACTGAGCAATGTTTGCAACGAAAAGGAGCAGCCATGAGTCTTTTATCTGAAATTCAAAAGACTCAGAATTCTATGGTTGAGGCTCAAAAAAAGGCAGCAGAGTTGAAGGAGCAAATCTTTAAGTTGCAGACTGAACTAGATAGCAAAGAAAATGAAATCAAAGAGTGTGACAACAAATTGTTGTCTCTTGAAAAGCAAAAGAAGGAGAGTGTTTCTGACACCATTGGATTCATAAAGGAATTGGAAGCAGTGAAGAAAAAGAGGTCTCAGCTGGAGAATATGGATTTTAAGTGGTCTTCTTGTTTAGCCAACTTGAAGAAAACTTCGTTGCTGTTAGGAGTTCATCTTAAGCAAAAACTTTGACCATGTGAGACTGCCATTTAAATTTCCAAAAAAATTATTTAAAAAAAAAAAAGTTCATTATGGAAGTTGGGTTGTAATGTATCTATCCCGTGTTTTATGTACTGTCATTGTGGTTCGTTCTCAATGTTGACTGTGATGATTGTTTCTCCTATTCATTCTCACAAGAAGACCTACTTTAGTTAATAAATAAATCATGTTATTTATCCTCTTTTTTGGCCAGCATGTTATTTATCCTTTTATATCATAATATTAGTTTAAATTAAATATGTTGACAGTCAATAAGTTTTCCCAATTTAAATGTGTGTATACTTTTTTTCGGCTAAAAAAAAATGTGTGCTCTTTTTAATTGAATATATTGAAGCTAACCCTCAGGACCTTTTTTTTTGTTCCCGGGAAGATAATTCACCTTTTTTTAAAAAATCACTTTAAGGTCCGAATTAACTTGATTAAAAATAGCAATAAAGTATTTTAAATTTTTTAGAACATATTAAAGTTATTATTGATCTGTCAATAATTTCACTTGAACAACCATTGCTTCAAAATTTGTGTTTATTTTTTTATATTATTAAATTTTGAAATATTATTTTCTTTTTTTTTTGGTGAGCCACAAGGAGTATACCTCGCTCACCATCACAGCAGTGTCGAATCACCCCTGAAGTATTGAGGGCAATGGGCACTCACAATTTAGTTGTTATGTCCATATGCATTGAAATTCAAGCCTAGTTTAACATAACTACTTGTTTAGATGATGTGAGTCCTTAATTTATAACTCCAATCTAAATTGATTTTCATTTTCTATTTTGATGAAAACACATTGTCATTCAAAATTTTGTATTCAATTAGTCAATTATATATATAAATATATATTTTTTCGGTCTTTAATATAAAACCCATTTAACTAATTTGATTAGATTAAAGAAGGTAAGTAAGTTAGTTAATTATAAGAAATATGACACATTTTTCTTAAAACATCATAATCAACTTTCTTAATACCACATCTCGCTTTTCTACTTGATTATAGTTGAGGGAATATCTATAAGGGTATTTTAGAGAAAATTGATAAATATGAGGTATTGATTATTGACTATTGATTTGGTATTGATTGAATATCAGAATCGCACTAACCAATGGTCTCATGTTCGAGTCCTGAATATGTAGCCGTGATCATTACTTAGAGGTAGCAAGGTAACCCCCCATAGTGGCCACTGCTCCCGCAAACTAGATTATTTGGTTACTCGGATACTTAGTAATAAGATTCAGAAAAGGAACCGGATACCAATTGATAATAATTAAAAAAATTTGCAGACAAACTTCCTAATAAATAATTGAGGACTTGTTTGGTTTTTTGTTTTTAAAACAATTTTTTGTTTTTAAAAACAAAAAATAAAAATACTTGTTTGGCAATTTATTTTTAGTTAATTGTTTTAAAAAAAAATATGTTTTTAAAAACTGGAAAACCAAAACAACTTTTACATGTTTTCTTATTTTTGCTTTTGTGTTTTTTATTTTTTTTTTGTTTTGAAAAATCAGAGAAACCTTCTTCTCTTCTCCTCTACTACCTACTATTTATCACTATTAGTGATAACTATCACTTGTCAAAGTGTAATTTTTTACATTTTTTTCAAATGTGATCTTTTAAAAATTATTTTTCAAACAATTTTTTTTGTTTTTTGTTTTCAAAACTTGTTCTTAAAAACAATTTTATAAAATTATTTTGAAAATAAGAAAACAAAGAACAAAAACAAACAGGCCTTGAGATTCTTTTGCACAGAGTGAAACCCCACTCTCATACCCAATTTTGGAAATCAAAGCACTGTTTTATGGAAATATACCTGTTTGCTTTTGTTCTTAGTTTTTTGTTCTCAAAACAATTTTGTAAAATTGTTTCTTAGAACTATTTTTGAAAACAAAAAACAAAAGAATTTGTTGGGATAATAATTTTAAAAAATAATGTTTACAAGAAAAAATGATAAAAAATTACACTTGGTAAGTGATAGTTGTCGTTGGTATTGATAAGTAGTAGATAGTAAGTGAGAAGAGAAGAAAATTTTTCAAAATTTTTTAATCAAAAAATAAAAAACACAAAAACAAAAACAAAAAAATATGTAAAAGTTATTTTGGTTTTTCAGTTTTTAAAAACAAATTACTGTTTTTTTTGTTTTTTTAAAACACTCAACTAAAAACAAGTTACCAAATAAGTTTTTTTGTTTTTCTGTTTTTAAAAACAAAAAATTATTTTTAAAACAAAAAGCCAAACAAGCTCCTTATTGCTTCTGTCTTCACTTTACCCACACAAGCCAACCATAAAAATATGGAAACATTGCTCAGACATACTGACACACCCTCTTGACCCAGAAATTAGGGTTTCACCACTGCGGGAAGCCATTATTATTGGCGTTGTTACACACAGCTAGAACGCATGCAACAAATATGGAAATTAAAGGCCAAAAAAACCATTAATATTTGAATCTGATAAGGGACAATGACAAAAAAAAGAGGTTGGAATTTTGTAAATACTAAATAAGGAATGTCAACAAAAATTTGTTGTTATCTGTAAATTCAGACTTGTCAATACTAAATAAAGTTGTGTTATCAAACCTAATTTAAGATCTGCAATTTTCAACTTCTTTTTTTTGCCGTTCTTCCATCTGATTTTGGATGATGTTAATTAATTAGTGAAAAAAGGGGAGCAAAAGATCATAATTAAGGAATAGTTGTAGAAAATAAAGCTGATAAACCCCAATTACTGCATATAACTCTGGGTTAATTAAAAGGCCATCGATCGATATCTTCCAACCAGAAGCTTTTACATGCTCCATATACATTATTTCTTCACATGCACAGATCACTAGAGAAGTTTTTCTTTTCTTTCCTTTTCTTTTCTTTTTCCTGAAGTGAAGGAGACAAGCGAGAAAAGGCGAAATGCAGAGTACTGTACTGAAAATAACGACAGAAAGGGGCTGCATGCATGCATGCATTGTTAACATAATAAAACCGTCGACATCGTCAAACCTTATCTACTGTACTACAGTCTTCTCACCTGTAAAGTACTGTACCTCTTCACCCGCACTTTTCTTTCCTTTCTCTACGTACACCATCATTATTGCAGGCCTAGCTCACTTGGTCCAAGTTAGGTCGATCTGGGCATATGTATGCATACAATGTATAAGTTCCATGCATTACATGAAATTTGAGAATTATTGGGCAGAACATGTATCTATTCATATAAACATAACTATTTAGTGTGCATAATTTTCCCATTTATAATAGTTGGACTTGGACTAATTTAATTAATTAAAATACTTCTGATGATTTCAGGTTTTCAACTATATATTGATTTCTATATATTTTATCTGATCAATAAAATGAGGTTAATTTTGTATAAATCCGTAAGATAAACCCTAATAAATTAGAGTGGATTTTATGCATTTTACATGTGACTTAAGATAATTTTTGCAATATTCATCAACAACATAATGTAACTCCTCACGCTATATGTCTTGCGTTGATTTCGTAAGCGAATTTGCTCTGAATTGTATTGTTATTATCATATGCATGTTTTAATCGCAAGATCAATTAAATCCACAATCTCAATAGACTGGGAAAATTATTTACACATATATACACAATTTTTTTTTTGGTGAGCACAAAAAGTATAACTAGAACCGATAATATGGGTTGGACCTGCCAACCTGTCAAAAATAACAAATTAGAGTTGGCTAAAAGTCAACCCACTAGCAAACAAAATTTAATCACAACCCGCTATGGGCTAGCCTGCCAACCCACGGGCTAATCGTATTTATTTTTTTGATATTTTTAAATTTTATTAATTATTATAATTATATTATTATATTTTATATCCTATATAAAAAAGTTTAAAAAATACCAATATCATTTATTTGGTGTTTTCAACCAAATTTTTGAAGGAAAAGTAAAATTTTCATTATATTGTATAAGAAAAAAATATTTAAAAAGAAAAAAAGCAAAATAATGTTGGCGGGTTGGCAGGCCAACCTGTCAACCCACCATGACAGGTCAAGGTTGGCTAAAAACCAACCCGCCATTACAGGAGTTTTTTTCAACTCGTACTGCTTAACTCTAGCTCACTTGCAGGTTAGTCTGTATTATCACGGCTAAATATAACCTCCCGACAACAAAGATACTGAGGATTGAATATAGACACTCATTCTACCGAAGTTGTTTTATATATATACATATACATATACATATATAAAGATTTAAAGTCCTAACCCCATACGCAAATGATAAGAATCTCTACCACTCCCGTCAACTTGAATTAGTTACACACAAGCAATATTTTGTATATAAAAATTGAATTGAATTAGGGGCTTACTAGCTATATAACCTCTTAGAAACCAGTTATTAAGAGGTTCCAATTTCTTCACTTGCTAGTGTAGGACCTTTGGCACTTGTGATGGACATAGTGAATCTCACAATGAAGCTCCAACAGCCACTTGTGATGGCTTGACCTTGGTAATGCCAGCTATACTACTTTTTATTCTTAATATAATATAAGAACTAATTAAATATTTAATTTGATCTTAAATATGATTACACATGTAAAAAAATTTCATTAAAATATGATTCTTAACTAATTTTTTTAATATTCACATATTAGTTATCTAGCTATTTACTTCTTATAGTAAGTACTAGAGGCAGTATTTTCTTCATATGTCAAAGGCATTTTTGTAGAGGACCTCTAAAATTTTTTTTAATTTCAGTCAAATTCTCAGGGTCTGTGGTGAAATTCTAGGAATTTTTTTAAAATTCAGTCAAATCGAAGTGTAAGTAAATCTCTTATGAATTAAGGAATTGACTGATGGCAATAAAAAATTAAGGAGCTGATTGGGATTCTCTCCTTTTTTTTTTATTATAATTTTACAAATTATCTAACTTCATATAATTCTTACATTTTTCACAAAACATTTTCGTGTCAACATCAATATAAAATTTGTGGTAAATTATATGATTAAGGATAG